TTTTTTTACAGTGTAGGATTTCATTGTATTGTTTCACTGAAATAAAGGAAAAACTATGCAATAAATCAGTTTCATAAATTCATTAAAAAGTTTATTTAATCTTGATTCGGCAAAAGAATATGTTGCAAGTTAATGAAATGATTTCATAAAATATCAATTCTTACTCCAGTATAATAAGATTATATAGAGAGCAGATTAATTCAGTTTATTAAAAATTTATTATCAAAAAAATAATTGAGATCAAGCATTGAGAAAAGAAATTCTGTAACGTTTTCAAAACCGTGCTATATTGAAATTAGATTGAAGAAAAAACAATCATTTAGTCAAACTTATGCTGTTCGACTTTGTTGTACATCAGCTGTTCTTACTTGTTTTTATGATGTTTAGTTTGCTGTTTTTCATCTGAATTTATAGAATTTGGATAAGAAATTTATGGTACAGTAATATCGTGACTTTGCAGTAAACACAGTAAAAGAAATGTACTTTCAAATTAATTTTTCACTAGAAGGTAACTTTTGATATTTATGACATGCTACATAATATAAGTCCTGTGAAAAGCTCAAGTTTTTATTTTCTGTTGGCAGATTATCTCATAAAATATTTGCATAGAGAGCACATAAATGATCCACTCACTTTGTTTATGGACGTATGATCGTATAAAGATAACTATTTTTGATCTATATTGGATGAATTTCTTGACTTTTATTAATTAATAAATCATAGTTCTTAAAAATTCGACCATCGATTATGACTTTCTATATGACTTTCTATATGACTCATTAACCGAAGCAATAAGAAGACTTCGGCACTTGCCAAAAAATGACCTTGTTTATAGCATCGAAATTTGGTTACGTCGAAATTTGTTATATGCATAAAGGCCAAATATGATTTCTAGAATACGAATATACTGATATCAGAATAGCGACTTTTCATTTTATCAATGAAATAGAATATACAAAAAGTAGTAAAATACTTTTATTATCAATTGTAAGATAACAATGAAAAGTGCTAATATTTGTATGTCTCTTAATATGTAATTATCACTTGAGGTTTATTCATGATTAGCGTGAAGAAGATAAGAAAAGAGTGAAAAATAAACGAAAACAACGAGATAACACATATGTACTGGATGTATTCATGATGAATTTTAAAGAAACCGAAAAGAAAATAGATAGCAGAGTCAATATTAATGATTCAGATTTCTCGAAAGTTTAGTAGAAAACGTTTTGCTAAATTATTTCGCATGCTCTTATATTAAAACATCGTACAATGAGTTCAAGATAAAACAAACAGAAAACAATAATAATTATTGAGTTTATGGATGTAATTTACATCCGACACATGGAGCGGGCGGTTCTATTGATGCGTAAATATCAGGTCTTGCTTTTCCACTAACGTTTAGATAACCCACTAAACATTTATCTAATCGAAATATTGCGTGATCAAGGATGGTATACGTTCCAGGAACAAGCATTTTCATATCAACGATAGTGGCACCACCAGGTGGAACTATTGTCGTTTGAACAAATCTTCCTGGTGGTGACACTACATCACCATCACGATAGAGTTTTTCAAATATTCCTCCAACAATATGAAATGATGAAATTAAGTTCGGACCTGCATTACCAAAATAAATTCGAATCCTATCGCCAGTAGAAGCTTTCAATGGAGCATCACGACTTAATGCCGATTCTTTCCCATTAAATACAACCACATTAGCAGTTTCATCTAAAGCTCTTGGATAACTAAATTTAACTTTATCACTTAATTTTCCATTTTCGAGTTTTTCTGGTGGTTCATGATAAAATTCACTTTGCATGATATAAAATTCTTTGTCAACTGACGACAATGTATCATATTCAGGTTGAACATAGATTAGACCATACATACCATTTGCAATATGTACAGGTACAGGAGCTGCAGCACAATGATAAACAAATAATCCTGGATATAAGAGACGAAAACGAGCTGTTTTAGTTTGATTTAAATCAGCAGTCGTAAGAGCTGCTCCACCTCCTGGTCCTTCGAACGCATGACAATCAATATTATGTGGATTACCAGTTTCATCTCGATTGGTTAAGTTTAATTCAATAATATCACCAACACGAGCTCGAATGAATGGTCCAGGTACACTATCATTAAATGTCCAAACATCATATTTATACATATTTGTTAATTGAATTGTTTTGGTTGTAGTTTATAAATCAACTTTTAGTATTACTGGATGATGTCTAGTAATTGGTGGAGGAACATTTGGTGCTGTAGTTAAAATTGCTGTTTCAACTGGCATATGTCTGATTATATTTAGATCGATAATATCTTCATGGTGATTGTTATCTGTTGTTGAAGAATCAAATCGAACATTATTTGACTGAGAGTCAGTCTCAATAATTGGAACTGTTCGATCCTTCGAAGAAGGTGATAACCTAGCTTCACGAGTATTAACAAAATCATTTTGTTTTGAAGTAGATAATGCATGAGCTCTTAAAAAATTGAATTTATCAGAGAAATATGCAATAACAACAGATGTAATACCCATTGCACTTATTAACACAGCAGTTCCATAATTCGCTCTTGACTTTTGATTTAGTGGTGGTTTTAACTGAAGAGTATTAAATCGAACAGACGACATGTAGCTGTTACCATTTATTTCTAGATTAAATATCTTTACAGATCGAAATAATTTTGCCAGAAAAATTTGATTTCGATACATGATGATAGTCAGATAATGTTAATACAGTGTAGAAATGACTCTCATTTTCTTTCTCTTTTCTTTATCATGTGCGTCTTTGGCGACAGAATTTCATGGAGAAAAAAACATACCCATTGCTTTACATGTTTATTTTTTTCTTTCTTCACAGGGATCAATAGGGGCAATTTTTTTTTGTCCCAACTATTTCTGATGAGTGAAATAGATAGAAATACGAACGAGTAGAAAACGATGACAAATCATATTTGTGTCTTATTTCTCTTCTTACTATGCCTTCTCAATTCGAGTATTCTTAGTTTGTTTGATTCAGGAATATTGTTTTATGCGTTATTTTTTAATTAAAATTAATATAAAGTTTTTATATATTTTTCTTTTAATTTAATTTCTAGATAAATTTAAGTATATTACTGGGTATTTTAGATTGAATTCTACGATTCATTTTATAATCTTAAAACAACTAAAAATCGTTAAATTAATTTTAATTAAATAATAACAAGAAAGAATATAAAATTTTAAATATTAATCGATTAATATAATTCTATTTTGTTTTTCTTATTAAAAGTAACATATACTACTCAAAAAAAAAATACTAGATGTCGATATCTATTCGTTGTAAACCGACGGGTTTTATGCAAGCAAGTCGAACTATTTTAAAACAAGCACACCGCTACATATTACCGTTGACATTAAACAGGTATCAAACGACAACTACAGATGGTAAGTGTTATTTTTTAGAACTGTTAGAGAGATAACAAAGCCCGATCACTCTCACCCTATTCACCATTTTCCGAATAATTTTCTTCTGCAATTCTACACGTTTTGATGTGATAATATTGGCGAAAAACAAGTTTTCTTTCATGTTTGTTTTTCGTTGGACTAAAGGTCAGAAAATACAAATTTCATCTTCTCTTAAATTGACAAAGCAACAGTTGTAAATCTCCAATCTGATTTCTTGATCACTACTATAGTTCAGTGTCGGATTGATAAACAGTTGATTTTCTTGGAAAACAACTGTTAGAATTCAAGAAATAAAGATAAAATAAAATTGTCTAATGTTAATCAAATTGTAGTGCCATCCTTTCCCATGCCACGTTCATCTCCTCTTCGTCCACCACCTGACTATGCCAAACTACGTAAAGACCGTGCGGTATCAAAAGCAAAAATTTGGGATGGCAGCCTCGTCTGGTTGGTGACTCGACACAGTGATGTTCAAAAAGTTCTCAAGGATCCACGCTTCAGCAAGGTACGCACGCTTCCGGGATTTCCAGAAACAGGGCCTGGAGGCAAAGCGGCAGCTCGCGAAACTAAGCCGACATTTGTCGATATGGATCCACCCGAACACACTCGTTACCGTGGAATGATCGAACAAGATTTCACATTCGAGAAGGCAGAATCAATGCGACCCAATATCCAACAGATTGTTGACAATCTTCTCAATGAGATGCAAGCTCGTCAAGTACAGCCAGTTGACTTAATCTCTTCGTTTTCAATGCCAGTTCCTACATTGGTCATTTATCAAATGCTCGGCATTCCCTACAAAGATCATGAGTTCTTAGAGAAATGCAATAGTATCCGCACAAGTGGCAGCGGAACATCTGCTCAAGCGTCGATGGCTAGCAAGGATCTCATGAATTATCTTGGATGCCTAGTGAGCCATTGTAGTGTTAAATGTCATTTTGCACATGTTCACCCTCATACCTTCCTAACAACTACGAAGCTGACTAAATTCAGAATAGCTTCTTCAATGAAATTTTTTGGAATAAGAGAAAAATCTTTTATTCTACATTGTTATTTTTTTAAGTGATGCAAAATGAAAGATTTTTTTTATCATAAAAAGATGCCTTCATGAGAAATCACTATAGACTACTTTATGATTGACGTAGTATTGCCGTATGAAGCCCATATTAGTTTATATCAAATGAAGAATAAAAAACACTGCTTCATTCACATTTAAAATAGAACAAAGACATACTTTTTAAATCTTCATTGTTTTTCATAGAAAAAAAACTTTCATAAGAACGGGGATTCTTAATCATGATTTTTTCCTCTACTTTTGTATTTGTTCAGAGCAATTTTTCTTATTATCTCAATCTAGGTGGAAAGCAAAGAAAAGAATCCTGATAACGACATTATTAGTCGTCTAGCAACCGAACAAGTACGTACGGGCAAATTAACTACTGAGGAATTAGTGGCTATGTCGTTTCTCCTTTTGGTTGCTGGCAATGCAACAACAGCAAACATGATTACGTTTGGTACTCTTACACTTCTTCAGCATTCTGATCAGCTCAATCAACTTCGTGAAGAACCATCTCTTATCAAAAGTGCAGTTGAAGAAATACTACGCTATCACACAGGCTCACAATTTGCTACTCGTCGAATAGCCATTGAGGATGTGGAAGTCGGTGGTCAAATAATCAAGAAGGGTGAAGGAGTGTGGGCTCTGAATGCGTCAGCTAACGACGACGAAGATTTTTTCTCGAATCCATCCCGCTTTGACATTCGTCGTCAACCAAATCCTCATCTTGCATTCGGTTATGGTATTCATACATGCATTGCGGAACACTTAGCACGTGTTGAGATAGAAATTGCCATTGGTACTCTCTTTCGTCGATTACCTAATCTTCAGCTTGCTATTCCAGTTGACAAATTGCCATATGTCACAGATCCAGCACGTGATTTTGGCGTCGCTACACTGCTTATAAAATGGTGAGTTGTTTGGAACTCTTCATTACTGTTAAAGCTACATCTAGAGTTTGTTCTGAAAGACTTTTATTGAAGTCCAGATCCGAAACTTCAAATGAGTTCCAAAAATATCTGAAATTTTCTCAAGTGAACAAATTATGTATACATCACTGGACATATGCAAGATGAGATCTGAAACCAGAGATAGTCATATATCTATATTAGAATTTTAGTACAAAAATTAAAGCGAGAATTGAAGTTTTCACGAATAGCAATCTATCACCATAAAACTTTGACAAATGATAGACCAAATATCGTATGCGCCGAACTTAGGATCTCTGGTCTATTGTTGGGTTCGATGCATATCTAGCTCAAATCGTTTTCTATCATTTGATAAGTGGAAGTATGCTTGTTGGAAATTTGTAAAAAATTATTGCTTTGACGCTCAGAACGTTTGTTTATTAACAGCTCCAAGGTCACAAAAATTTGTTCCTCAACATATAAGTAGTTCATGTACATTGAGAAATGCATGATACCCAGAACAGACTATTTGAGATCCTATATTGTCATATCTATTCTTTTTTGAATCTAGGTGACAAAGTCGACAAGATCAAACTCACTAATAATATTAATGAAATTTGACGATCGCTAACTCTCATTTCATTCATTTATTCATGCATGCTTTTAATTTTAGCAATAAACTAGCTCGTCATCTTCTTTCATAAAATTCTAACCTTAATTACTTCGAGAAAACGAGAAGAAATTTGAAACAAATGTAACAACCAGCGTCTTTAATTCCTCCAGAGGAAAAGTACAATTTGTATTTAATTTATAGCACGTCTTACCGACACTGCACAGAGCTGTATTCTAGTTTCTAGAATACTTTAGACAATAAAATATATATTAATAACGTAGTTTAACACATTGGGCACGATGTGGCCCACCGGTGGGCCACGCTATGGTTTTACGAGTAACTGTATAGAAGAACACTTTCTTTTGATTTTTTCTTAGGCACGAGGTTATAAACATGAAGTGTCAGTTGTTCTGTGTTCAGTGCTTTATTTGCGTCCTTTATTCCATAGGATAATGCTTGTCATTAAAACACTCTAGACAAAAAAACTTATCACAGTCAGAACAAAAAGTTTTCACTTTCTTTGCTGCCGCATAGCTTGTTTCTCTTGACTGTTGTGCCTTTCCCTTCGCATAGCAGCTAGTACATCGTCTGCCAACATTGCGCGTAGATCCTTCCTTTTCTTCGAGCTTGTGATCAGCGAGTTTGCGCTTGGAATGACTTGCTGATTGTTGTATCGGACCAGGTTTTAGCTTCTCGATTGGTGCACCAATGAGTAAAGATCGTACAAGACTTTCTCGAAACTGTAAAATCTGTATGTTGCTCGCCGCATAATTTTCCTTGTAAATCAGATAACTATTAACCACTGCAGTTCCAAATACCAATTCAAATGCCACCTTTTTATACCATTTTATTGACCGTCTCAGGCATGTGTGGTATGTTGATAGTTGATCTGATAAATCAGTACTTTGTCTGCCTTCATTGTAATCGAGAACAACTTGCGGCTTCATGATGCGTTCATTCAGTTTATTGATTTTTCCGGTGTTCACCACAGTTGCTGAATGAAATGGTTTAGTAGATATCATCAGAACGTCTCTTTTATCTTTCCACTTGATCAATTTTACACCGATTTTGTTCTGGAGCCCATAAACCTCACCAGGCTTGAGCTTTTTCTGAACAACTTCATATCCTGATCCAGTACGATTACTTCTCAATGTTCCAATAAGATACGTATCCTGTTCCAACAAACGTTTTGCTAGAGAAATACTAGTAAAGAAGTTGTCAGCCACCACGGTTCGATAACATCCCGAAAGACCATTCAATAGATTCATTACGACTGCTTCAGCATGTCCACGACCTGCCATAGGATCTTACTGACCAGTATAGATCACATAATTCCAGGTGTATCCATTGGTAGCCGCTAGCTTGTATATCTTTACGCCGTACTTGTGTGCTTTTCCAGGGATGTATTGTTTGAACAAAAGTCTGCCTCGCCATGGTACCATACTTTCGTCGATGCTAATAACTGAGCCAGGCATATATACTGATGAAAACCTCTCTTTGAGTAAATCTGAGAGTGGTTTCAACTTGAACAGCCTGTCGTGGTCCGAATTCTTGTTATTGTTGTTTGTAAAATGCCAAAATTTGAGGAGTAATTCAAACCTCTCTCTCGACATGGCATTTCGTATGATCTCTGATCCGTACAATTGACTACTGCTCCAGTAGTATTTCAGTTTCGGCATTTGTACCAATCCCATCTCGATAATGATTCCAAAGAACTTCAGCATCTCTTCATCGGTGGTTGGTTTCCATTGACGAAATTTTGACCGTCTGCTAATCTCATGAGTTTGCAAATATTGTTCCGCATAGCGATTAGTTTCACGAACCATAAGGTCAATAATTTCGTCCGTAATGAAATGCCGATAGCAATCGATAGGGTCGATTGTATTGTCTCCTGAAGTCGAAGTTACTTCTTCGACGAGACCATGATCTTCCATAAATTCATCATCCGATTCTGGTTTTATTTCATTCCAGACGTTTGAATCGACCTCGTCATTTGTCACTTCTTCGTCGGAGCTTTCAGATTCAAGATGTATTCTATCGAAATCATCATCCAAAGAACTCACTTCACTTCGTGAGCTAACGCTTTCTTCTGAATCGGTTTCTTCGAACGACATGTGTACTATTCCAAAAATTCACTCGTCTTTATATAGTAAAACAACACATGGATAAGAATAACAGAGAAAAGCCTGGAATTTTCCTCCTTCTTCTCACATATGTTATATATAACATGAAAAAGAACGAAAAATTGACTCAGGCAATTCTAGTTACTCGCGAAAAATGATTCATTATGTAGTAATACAAGAAAGAGAACGATAAATAATCAGTAGAAGATAACGAAAGGGTCATTAAGTGCATTTATTAGAAGTGAACTATTCATAAAAATGACATCTTGCAGAAATTTCATACGAAAACTGAATCGTGCCCAATGTGTTAATCAGAAAACATAGTAAGTATAGTCAAATTATGAACTTAAATTATGATGAGTCCTGAATTTTTCAAAAATAAATGTTAATCTAAAAAGTTATTAGCACAATCCATACAAGATTCAATTGAGAAATACGATGTAGTTGTTCTTGACAATCACATGTAAATAGGTTTTTTCTTTTCTGACGCACACATGCCCTATTGTGACGTAGTCTTGCAGATTTCCTTATTCGATATGGATCATGCAGTCACAAATGCAGAATAAGCACGTTGCAGTGATCTTTTGAAGTGTTTGAGAATAGTGTCAACAAAACTTTTGGTCTCTTATTAGATCTACTCCTGAAATCTTTTGTTTTTCACCAAAAGCAGTGGTATTGTGAAAAGATTTTCCTTGAGAGGATTTTTTCGAGTATGCTAATTTTTACATGGGAGATGCTTCTAATGCATGGCACTATGCATTTGTCGAGGGATTCAAATTTTCTATTTTAGAATTCTTACTTAATTATAGGAATCTTGGTAGATGGAAATATTACAGTTGTCTGGTTCGTTATTAAAAATACTTTTGTTTGTCATGAATTCCAACGTATATGGTAGATGTTCAACAAATCAATTGTAACAACAAAATATTATTTACTATCTAATCGAAACTATCGTTTTGAAGTATAGAGAAACCCATTCATTTAGATTTCATTCACTTGTTTTCTTTTGTATTTTCTTTTTATGGATTCAATGCAAACTGATCTTCTTGCGAACTCTTAAAAAGAAATTATATGGTATCGTCAAATTCATTCTTATCTCATTGCAAAACATTAGATATTTTTTTCAAATGATGATTTACTTATCATTGAAGCTAACTAGCGTCATTGGATCAAGTGATCACTTGGCTTAATTTCTTTCCTTTTTCTGTCATAATTATTGATATTTCGGAGTATTTTCGCCTAATGGTTTACATGATTTCCAAACAGTTCCTTTCGCAATTTTCTTTTTAATGAACTTTCATTTATGGGAATTTTCTATCGCTGTATGTTTTAATGATTATTGATGGATATTGAGAGGGTGTGGGTGTGTGCTATCTTGAGGGTGGGTGTGGGTATGGGTAGATGTGGGTGCCGATGTAGGCAAAGAGAAAAAGCACACGCAACCGCGCCCACACTTACGCTCACACCCACACCCATGTACTAGAAAATAAAATTATATCGATTTCTCTTTTTCTGAGATAAAACAAAATATTAAACTGCTTAAAAAGTCCTCGTGGAATGAATTTCGATCATTGGTAAGAAATCTTTTTCATTTCCTTCATATAAATTCTTTAGTACAAGTTTACGATCGTGTTAAATATGATTTAATCGGTAAATTTATTTTAAGTATATTTTAATATATACATCAGTCGAATATATTCATCAAATCACCAACATCACCAAAATTAAAGAATATGCCGTTACACTACTACAACGTTATTTTCAAACAGCAACATGAAACAACGATCACCTGTTAAAAAACAATCTACAAGATATATTCAACAAACTGTAAAAACAAATCACCTACCTATGTTGTATATTATATATAGCATCGTTATTATCGATCACTGTTGATCCGACCGAATACATATAACAATTGTTATATCGGATTCGCCGACTTCAACTTTGCAACATACACACCATTATCATAACTACCATCGTATAACCTCTTTTCACGAGACATAAGACATTCGTCAAGTGTCTCGGCGTTTCTCTCCAGCCTTCTGTATATCTATATATATTGTTGCTTCTTTTCTGTTAACATCTTAATAAAAGGCTTTGACTCCAAAAAAAAGTATATTTTACAAATAATCAGCATTGAAACATATCAACTGTACATGCATTACTTTTGTAATGTACTCAAATACTATTGAGGTGTTGATCTAGAAAAAAAAGTGGAAATTTATCAACTATTTATTCAAATTAGTTTTATTAAATTGGTCCACCGCTGATCTCAAAAAAATGATCTCCTAAAACTTTAGCAAAATTTTTTCAATATATCCAAGTGCACGAAGTATGCATTCTTTTGTTTAAAATTATTTGTCATTATGAATAAATTAAAATTTTAAATAAATATTAAAATGTTGTATCATTTCCAATTGTTTTCTTTTCGTTGAATTAAATGAACCCAATTTTTCTTTTTTTTGTCTTATTAATTAGAAAGTAAGTGACCAAATGAAAAAGATATTTTATCATTTTTAGTTTTGCAACAGTTGACTAACGTCTTCATACCGTATGACTGTAATTTCAATACTACTGTTAATATTGTTCGACGTCAAAATAATAATTCCTGTTGGCAATACGGATCGTTCACGTTCTGTAATGGTGTGGGTGAAGGTGTTGAGCATCTCTTAACCCACGCCCACCCTCAATATTTTACCTGACTCAAAAAAGTTCTTATGGCAGCAAAGTCATTGAAAAAGAGAGACAGATAAATGAAATAAAAGAGATCGCTCTTAGCAACATATGACTTGGTATGTGATTACTTCTTATACATGTTCGTAGCATATCAAGAAATCATGAATAAGGCTTATTACACAAAACTTGAGGCAACACTTGCCTAAGTTATATGAGCTCTTTCTTTCACTTCAATTATAAGATAACGATTGGCATGAAGTCATTCATCTTCAATCAAATTCAGGCACGTTTTACTGCTAAAAATAATGCAAATTAGCCACCCAGTAACATCTGTGATAGAAAAAAGCTTTTTTGTACACCTCTCAATCCAATGGATGAAATAAAAGGTTTCTCTTTTTTCTTTCCTCTCCACTTAATCCTAGCTTTCGTATTTATATTGATAATGTTTATCAATCATTCATAAAAGATTGATGTTGTTTTTTTCTTTGTAGTTTTTTTCCAATACAACACAGCAGTGTTCTTCTTAGTGAAGATGGATCGATATAATCTTCTTTTTATCATGTTCTCCTTTTTTACCATCAGCAGCGGCGGAACGATTCCATTTGACCCAGAAAAGTTTGATGACTTCGCTCCTACTTCTATAGGCTATATGAAAGACAATTGGAATGTCTATTTTAGCAATGAGAAAGTTGCTGATGCATTAGCACACTCATTTCAAGATCTTGGCTTTGGATACGGCAAAGATGCATGGCATGTGTTTTATTTCGGCGAGAAAATACCGGATGCAATGCCTTCATCATTTCAAATACTTAGACCCTACGCTGGTTACGCCAGAGATTCATGGTATGTGTACTATTTCGGAAAGAAGATACCATATGCAAAGCCTTCATCATTTCAAATAATTCAACCATACGTTGGTTACACCAAAGATATATGGAATGTTTATTATTTCGGAGAGAAAGTGCCAGATACTACTCCTCATACATTTCAATCCCTGGGCAATGGTTATGGTAAAGATAGCTGGTCAATGTATTTTCATGGAAAGAAAATGGATCGGTATCCCTGATGAAGAATTGTGGACCTCATTCGAAAATTTTATTTTTGATTTATTTTATTCTATGGTTCAATAGTTCTCATGAACAAACAAAAACATAATGCATCAAAGATTTTTTTCAACTGTTGGAAAATGGCCGGATCAATTCTTTCATTCTATTCGAACATTCTGGGTGTGGGTGTGAAATCGGATATTTGGAGTTCTCATCAACTCTCACACCCACACCCACCCACATCCACCCTCAAGGATATATAAGGTAGCAAGGAAAAAACATCTATTATTAATAGCTTCACCCTTTACGTTATATATTTAAGGACTAAATAGTTCTTTTATAACAGAATATTATGTGATGCGCGATTCACTTTTTTAATTTAGTATTTGATTTAAGAGAGTTTTTCAATGTAACCCAAATACCTTAGTATTACAAGGAATAGTAAAATGCTATGTTTACTAATAAATAATAGACTACACGTAACATTGATTCATAGAAGATCAGGGGTTAAAGATCATAGAATAGTATTGTACTTTCATTCCTTTTCGAGCAATAGATTCATTACTATTTTAATGTGAATAATAGACTAACAGCTTCGAAGTGAATTTTTTTAATGTTTTATTGTACACGGTTGGAAAAAATATTTTTCCAGGGGAAACCGGGCGGTAACACCATCATTTTAAATAGAGTAAATGATGAATTTTATACCAAATGAAAGCTCGTGAAAAACGGGATTTATTGATACGAAATAGTCAGGGTTATGAAGACCTTAGTGTGTTAAACTCTTGAAGTTTACATAATTCTGTAAAATGTAAAAGTTATAATCTCCTTTTACCAACTTGAAAGACAAAAACAAAGAAATTTTCTTAGAAAAAATTAAAATGGCAATGTTCTAGTGATCATACAGCGTAGCCTCGACTGAAAGGATATTATTATCTTTTCGCATTCTATTGTCTATGCCTTGTGGTAGAGGTTAGTAAAAACGACTTTTTTGTTTTTCTTCTCGGAGACAGTTATGAAAGAAAAAGATTAAAATAGTTCGTGAAGTGGTATATAAGATCCTTTTCTGATCGATATATATCATAAAAAGAGAATATATTTTTCTGGTAAATAGACGAATTTCTATTACTTGAAAAGGGCTCATGCTTATGATACTGAACAAGAGAGAATGATTGACAGAATTAAATGCATCGCTTTTCGTGCAGCTCGCGATGCTGGTGCAACATTTATTAATCGACAATGGATCGCGGACAAAATTCACCGCACAACTAGATTTGTTACAGCATGGTGGGAAAAATCATATGACCGATGTTTTACTGATTATTCAAACGCTGGTTGCAAGCTCAAATTATCACAAACAAGTCAAGACATCATTCATAAAGCAAGTGGTCGACAAAGAAATAGTTGTTCTATTGTGGCGAAAGAGATTGCAAAAGAGCAAAAGAAGTACGTCACTGGAAGAACAATCAATAATTATCGTCATAGAGAAGGATTGAAGCCATTCCATATTATTCCAAAGCCATTAAAATCTGAAACTCATATATCAAATCGTTTATGGCTATGCGACTGCTTAGAAGATTGGACTGAAGAGGGTTTTCTTCAACTCTCACTATCTGACGAGTTTTATGTCTGGCTTGTGCGTACACCAATTTATCAAAATGATAGAATTTGGATCTTAAGTGCCGAAGATATTGAAGAAGATGAAAGATACCGTGAAATGGTTCAAAATCAAATATGCATTGGGATTTTTATCATTTTTACTTATAAGAGATTACTTTGGGTGATTAAAGATAAACGTGAATCTTGAACTAGTGAATATTTTCATGACATAATTGTAACTCAAAATGTAATACCTTTTCTAAATAATGAAGAAAATGTTATTGATCCCGATGAAGTTACATTTGTTCATGATAAGACCCCATGTATGCAAGCAAATAAAACCCAATATTTGCTTCAAGACAAAAATGTTAAGTTTTGAGGTAATGATATCTGGCCGGGAAATTGACCTGATCTCGATGTGGCAGAATGTATTGGATCGATAATCAAAGATGAAGTTGAGAAAAAAATGTCATCAGAAACTGGAAATAATCGGTATCTTGAAGACATACTCAAAATGCACATTACAAATGTTTTGACCAATAATGAAACACATACTGACTTATTTGAAACACTTTTACTTTCGTATCCATCACGTTATCGTGCAGTGAAGAATTCTAACGGTCGTCACATTCATTATTGATTCTATTCATACAATGATGAATAAATAAACTACTTGGAACACATTTAGTTCAAATTTTACCATGCAGATAGTTTTTCTCTTACTTCATGTCAATGAAATGTTATAGATTTCGAGAGTTTAATTCATTGAGGTCTTCATAACCCTTACTATTTAGTATGAGTAAATTTCGTTTCTCACGAGCTTTCATTTGGTATAAAATTCATCATTTACTCTACTTAAAATGATGGTGTTACCCTCCTGGAATAATATTTTTTCCAACTGTGTATGTTCCAAATAGCGAAAGAATCATTTTAAAAAAAGATAACTCCAGTATTGAGGTTCCCATCCATTCTTAATATAGTGTCATATCTTTATTCTTTAATGTACCAGTGGTTTTGTTTTCACTATTTGGACGGTAAAATAAAAGTTTTAAAAAATTTCACTCTGAAGTTGTTAGTTTTATTTACATTAAAACAGCAATGAATCTATTCTTTGGGCGGAAATGAAACTGCACTACTAGTCTATGATTCTTAACGCATAATCTTCTATGAATCAATATTACGTGTAACCTACTATTTATCAGCAAAAAATGCATTTTACTACTCCTCGTAATACTGAGTTATTCAGATTATAGCTATTTTGCAGCAGTTTTAATACGTTATCTCTGTCAACGTAGTAAAACGTCCAAAATTAAGAGTTATAGCGCGTTTATATGAAAAATACGTTAAAATGTTTTCCTGAAAACTGCTGTAACGCTGTTCAAGTATAGACGAAAAAGGGTGTGGGTGTGATGTGTGTGTAGGTGTGTGTGGTTGTGGGAGCTGGTGTGGGGTGATGATGTGGGTATGTGACTGACCCGAACTTATACCCACACCTACACCCGACAGCCACACCCATCCACACCTACACCCGACTGCCACACCCACCCGCACCCACAGACCCACGCCCACATCCATCCACATCCATCCACACCCACACAACCCGCCCACATCCACTCACCCACACAACCCGTCAACATCCACTCACCCACACGCACACGCACATCCACTCCCACACTCCACATCCGCCCACACCCCACACCCACACCCTCACCCACACCCACACCCACACCCACACCCACACCCTCACCCACACCCACACTCACACCCACACCCCATACCCCGGATCCGTTGCAGTTTGCGACGGAATCCCTTGAAATCCTTGGTGATGTTGATCTGATTCGACTTGGTTGGTGTCGGAATCCTGCGCATGAGAATCCGTGTCAGATTGTGTCGGAAAAAATCTAGTGGTCGGATATAAAAGGATTTGATATCCATCCGACAGGTTCTGACCCCCCGTGATCCTCTTGAGGAAGTATTTTTCTCATGGAAAAAATGGTACGAACGTTTTTCTTAATGATTTTTCCTGTATTATCATTTTTCATGCATGTGTTGTTTCGTTCTTCTAATTTAATCTTTTAAAACGGAGCATTTTTGACCTTAACTATTGAATTCCGCGTAAAATTTTCATTTATCTCATCGATTGAAAAGTTGTCCAACCCTCTATTAATAATATGTCATGGTTCTTTTTAGTAATAAAAGAAAAAAGTGGGATCCTTAAATATATTTTATGATCCTCGATAGATACTATAACCAAATTTATTAAGTAAAAGGGGTACATGATAATGAGCTGTATCTTTAGTACAAAATTCAATAGTAACAGAAGGAAAAAATCCATCAGGCATATAAGAATCTATATCAAATATAAGACGCCATCGACCTGGTTGCCATTTGTCTATGGGAACTAAATCAAATGCACGACCATCATCATTAGTCTTTGTTGCTGTTGTTGGCATTGATATCCATTCTCGATTTATAAAATTCTCAACTCGAACTGGCACATTAGGAGCTGGTTGACCACATGATAAATCTAGAATATGTGTAGTTAAAGTCTTAGCCATCTAGAAATTATTGAAATAAAAGTAAGAATAAGCACCATTAGTTAATAATCAAGAAAAAATAAGCGAGAGGATCACAAAGAGAAAAAATAAAAAAAAAAGATTGAGTCAATTTTAAATTTTTGATAAAAATGATCCTTTTGATGACGATCTTGTTAATGCACATTGTACATAACCATGAGGTTCATCAATAGGCATAAATATTTCATTTATATTTTCTTCACCAAAACGAGTTAAATCAACAGGTAAACAATGAAGATTTGGCATTGTAAAATGAATTTTACTTATTGATTTAACATTATTTAAAATAAGTTTACCCATATCATACAGTGTATGTTGAACACTTTCTGATTCATGTTCAGCAAATACATCAATCATTAATGAACGAATTTGTTGACGAGTTTGATCAAAATCAATTACTGCTGACCCATCTTCATATGTCCAAAGAGCTTGAACAGATGTGCCAAAAAGACGATCAGTTGATTCAGTTAATGTTGTTAATGAACCTCTATAAAAGTTCACAAAACTTGAATTAGCTGTTTTCATTATCTTTAAATCTTTAAGACCAGATACGATTGAAAAACTGCCATGTCTTGAACGTTTAACAGTTGTTAATTGTACTTCATTGCTTGTTTGAATAAATGATGTTGGATGGCGAACTTTATTTGATGTAACTATATGTGACCATGCCTTACTTTCAATATCAACGTTAACAGTGGATATTTGAGAATGATGCTCAAGTAAATAATTAACAAGATGTTTTCCAAAATCTTCAATTGATTTTGTGCTTGTACGTTGTGCCAAATAATAGACTGAAATATTTTAGAACAAAAAAAAAGAAATTAAATCTTTTTTAAGGGGGGCCCCCCCTCAGGAACGAACTTTGTTATTTTTCATCCG